TCAGATATGTTGGGCTGCGCAGTCCAAATATATGGGCAAGACAAGTTGCCTTATTTGCAATGGGCCGTTGTGCTGTAAAAAAGTAGGACATGCACCAATTTTATTTATTTTAATTCAGTGTGTTGCGTGACACACTATACTGTACTGTGCAGGGGTGGGCAAACTCAGTCCCTCCAGCTGTTGTGGAACTACAAATCCCATGAGGCATTGATTGCAAGATTTTCACAGCTACAGGCAGGACGGGATTTGTAGTTTCACACCCGGAGGGCTGAAGTTTGCCCACCCCTGCTATACGTCATCACAACGCACTGCAGTGAATAAACATGAATAGAGAGTCATTTTGTGATATTCCAATAGTTGAAAAAAGTAAACAGTGTAAGGTGCTGTAATCAGGACACAGTAATGACATGTGATACTCACAATGCATACCAGCGGACATGTTGCAGCGCAGCTGCTGGTGTGAATGAGCCCTCGAGGTGTATGTAGACCCCATTCAGCTCTGGAGACCTCACTTACTAAAAGATACAAGACCAGACACGGGCAACAAACCTGAGGAAAACCCTGAGGGATAAAACATGCGGAGAGACTGCAGGAATCTAATATGTACATTCTTGAGGTAAGAAGGAAAGGGGAGGACATGACTAAAACCTTTAAATACATTAAGGGCCAGTTCACACCATTGCAATGTGCTAAAGGCAAGGTACCTGTGCATTTAGCACATGCCATCGCACAGTGCAATGCACCACATGTTAGGTGTACTGCACTGCCATTTCTTCAGTGTAGAACTCCAAAGCATACCCAGGTGGTCGTGTGTTGCAATGTCCGGTACCGCACTAGTGTCCGCTGAGCAGAAAAATATGAAGTGTGCACTATTTTTTGTTTCACTCCACAGCACCACAACACTGACTATTGTATTATCGTGCATTGCACCGCAACACTTGGGAGGTGTGTTGGGGTGCCATTAACATTGAAAGGTAACACAATGTACCATGCCCCCTACTGTGCTTTTAACACAACACTGTGGTGTAAACCAGCCCTTATAGGATGGTTCTCAACTGGTGGGTCAAAAGTGTGCTCAGTAGGTAGTTGCGTACCTTTCACTTTTCTCGGTGAGCGGCTCCTCAGCCTCCCCCTAGCGTAGCACTGTCAGTTCTCACAGCAAGCAGCCATTCAAAATACGCTGCCGGGCGTCGAGTGTCGACTTGAGATGAGGTGGGCTTGGAGTATGGACGTGAGGGAGCTCCATTCATAAGTGCATTGCTTACAGCTCCCTCACGTGTCCTGTAGGAGGTGCCTGGACGGTAGTGATGTCACATTCTGACTCTACAGGCACGCATGGGAGCTATACAAGCACATATGGATGGAGCTCTGTCACAGCACAGCAGCCCACACTGGACCCCAGGTTAAGGATATACTCCAGTTCTTGTAAGGTAGGGAGACTGGTGGATCTTAAGAAAAATAAAAAATAAAACATTTTTGGGGGAGTGTATAAGTGTGTGTGAGAATGTCTGAGTGTGTGTGTCTGTCATTGCTTTTGAGGGTCCGATGACACTAATACAGTGCGCTAATCGCACAGTCCCATGCGATTAATGCACTGTACCATGCAATCACACATACTGTACGTTCTGGTGTTGGAGGTGCGTTGAATTGCCATTCATTTGAATGGCACCCCAAATGCACCTCCCACTCACAGTTCAACCGCCTGCACCGGAACGCGCAGTACCGGAATACCATGCGTTCTATTGCGGTCACGACTTAATGACTGAGGACAAATGTGGGTCCTGAGGTTACACAGGTTGAGAACCACTGCCTTAGAGGGTGCATAATGTTCAGGAGGGAAGCATTTCCAATATAAAGTGAAGATCAAGAACATGGGGACCTGACTAGCAGGAGGAAAGTTCAACACTAACTTTAGAAAGTATTATTTTACTGAAAGAGTTGTTGATGCTTGGAACAGACTTCCAGCTGAGGTAGTGAGTCAGTACAGTGAACAGTGAATATAAACATGTATGCGACAAACATACTCAGACAAAAAAAAAAGGAGAGATAAGAAAAAAAAAAAGGGGGCAGACACGATGGACCACTTGGTCTTTTTCTACCATTTCTCTTCCATGTCTCTGCACAGAGGGCATTCTGTGAGCTGAAAGGACAAAGAGCACAAATCCTGATAGAGGGTCTAACCCTGCTTTACAAAACCAGGAGGAAGTTGTGGCTCGATTTTCAATTAGAAATTCAATTTAACCTAGAAAGTGAAAGGTGTAGCAGCAGCTGAGGTGACGGAATGCCACATCTGTTGTTGGTCAGGGTCTCTTCACAGCCTGCCAAAAGAAATGACAGCCCCAGCTTATTTAGAAAGCCGTGAAAAGACTAATGATGATGTACCAGAACCAAATACATCTCATTGTTAATCAGAGGCCACAATAATGAAACGAGGCGCCCGATTGGCTGCAATTGAAATAATCTGTCTGTTCCACAAGGATTGGAACTTCACTAACATTCTCAGATGCTTGCCTTCCATGTACATCATCTATGGAGAATTATAGACGGGCACCTTAATGGTTATACGTGATCTATAAATTCTCTGTAGATCAAGTGTAAGTAAGGCGCCCATCTATAATTTTCTATAGATCAAGTGTAAGTAAAGCGCCCATCTATAATTCTCTATAGATCAAGTGTAAGTAAGGCTCCCATCTATAATTCTCTATAGATCAAGTGTAAGTAAGGCTCCCATCTATAATTCTCTATAGATCAAGTGTAAGTAAGGCGCCCATCTATAATTCTCTATAGATCAAGTGTAAGTAAGGCGCCCATCTATAATTCTCTGTAGATCAAGTGTAAGTAAGGTGCCCAACTATAATTCTCTGTAATTCAAGTGTAAGTATAGATGGGTGCCTTACTTACACTTGATCTATAGAGAATTATAGATGGGCACCTTACTTACACTTGATCTATAGAGAATTATAGATGGGCACCTTACTTACATTTGATCTACAGAGAATTATAGATGGGCACCTTAATGTTTATACTTTATGTATAGAGAATTATCAATGGGTACCTTGATGCTTATACTTGAGCTATATAGAATTATAGATGGAAACCTTAGTGTTTATACTTGATCTATTGAATATTATACATGGGCACCTTGATAATTATACTTGATCCGCAGAGATATAAAGATAGGCACCATAATGTTTACACTTGGTCTGTAGAGAATTATAGATGGGTGCCTGGATACCTATACTTGATCTTTAGAGAATTATAGACGGGCACCTAACACTTGACCTATAGAGAATTACAGATGGGCACCTGGATACTTATACTTGATCCATACATTACTATAGATGGGCATCTTACTAACACTTGATCCATAGAGAATCATAGATGGGCACCTTGATGGTTCTATACTTGATCTATAGAGAACTATAGATGGGACAGGATACTAATACTTGATCTATAGAGAACTATATAGACGGGCACCTTGGTACTTGATCTATAGATAACTATATAGATGGGCAACTTACTGACACTTGATCCATACAGAATTGTGGATGGGCACCTGGATACTTATTCTTGATCCATAGAGAACTATAGATGGGCACCTTAATACCGACACTCGATCCATAGAGAACTATAGACTGGCACCTTGCTGACACTTGATCCATAGAAGACTATAGACGGGCACCTAACACTTGATCCATAGAGAACTATAGACGGGCACATAGCACTTGATCCATAGAGAACTATAGACGGGCACCTAGCACCTGATCCATAGAGAACTATAGACGGGCACCTAGCACTTGATCCATAGAGAACTATAGACGGGCACCTAGCACTTGATCCATAGAGAACTATAGACGGGCACCTAGCACTTGATCCATAGAGAACTATAGACGGGCACCTAGCACTTGATCCATAGAGAACTATAGACGGGCACCTAGCACTTGATCCATAGAGAACTATAGACGGGCACCTAGCACTTGATCCATAGAGAACTATGGACGGGCACCTAGCACTTGATCCATAGAGAACTATGGACGAGCACCTAACACTTGATCCATAGAGAACTATGGACTGGCACCTAACACTTGATCCATAGAGAACTATATAGACGTGCACTCTGCCCAGCACACAGCCCACTGAGGGCACACTATCACTGCACCATTTCTAATGATTTGATGAAGGGGCAATAAAGAAGATGATCTTAGTTCATATTACATGAATTGCCATCACAAGTATATAATAACAACATTGTAGCAGACAGTAGTTTCTTAGAACACAATGGAAGCGGTTATTGGATGAGACATGTGACACTGTCATGCATGGCAAAGTAAAGAAGAAATGGTATGGTTACCCCTGTAATTTCCCCTCCTAGTCCTGGATTGGTTGGATCTCCTGAGATTCTCCACTGTTGCAGTCCAGACCTCAGTCAGATGGGTATCCTGTGCCGGTCACCGACCACATGCCCACCCCTGTGCTGAGCTAATTGGCACCACACTTCCTCTAGTGTGTATGGAGGGGCCGCGTTACCCGGCTGCAGATCACAAGGAGAAGACACAAAGCAGTCCACCACTTCCCGGTGTCAATCAAGAGCTCTCTCAGCCTCCTAATATATCACCAGCAGGGTTATTTCTGTCTTCTGTCACCGAGCTCCAAGCCAAGTCACAACATTCAGCCAGCAGTAATAGGAATAACAAGCGGCGGCGGCAGAAGCAGCAACCATATACCGGAGCGCACACCTCCCCACGATTCAACGCCTTCCTATGCCAGGCTGGAAAACATGGCCATATAAAATATGCATGGATGCAGCCCCAAGGGTCCCTGGAAAGTGTGCATTCCTGGCAGGCAGGATGGGGATGACAGGTGGAGCAGGGCGATCCCCAATTGATGATAATAATCCCCTCCAGCTACCGTCCTTCCATGGTCGGCTGCAGGCAGCAGAAGCGTCCGATCGCCGGTGTGCGGCTGCACGATGCGTTAGACTGCGCTGTCCAGCACCTTCCACTCCTCACTTCCTTGATGACAGCTTTCTACATTTCCAAGGTCCTTGATCCCTTTGTTTAAAGGGACACACAGCAACAGCACACGATGCAGCCACAAGAGAGAGGGATGGAGGAGCATCTAGTGGACAGGAGGAATGCCTGCATCCGACTATGGAATGCCAAATGCTGAATTGCACGAAAATTCCTGGCTGGGGCTCAAAATGTATTTCCACTGTTACAGACACATTAGGGGGAATTTATCAAAACTGGAGCTGACAGAATCTGGAGCAGTTGCCCGTGGCAACCAATCAGCATCTCTCTTCAGTTTCCTCAGGTAAGATTTGAAAATGAGACAGAAGCTGATTGGTTGCAGTGCAAATCTGCTCCAGATTTTATCTGCTCCAGTCTTGCTAAATTCCCCCCATTGTGATAACATCGTCTTTATACCTGTGACATGTTCCCATTCACATTGCAGAACTTTCCAAAACATGAAAAATGTGCTGCTGACATTGTCACTTGCTACATTATTGATCACAATGAATGACTTGTGACCCAGTAAGACACCTTCCGTGCCTAGCTAGTCTTTACATGTTTGTTTGGATGTTTGTGCGTCTTCCAGTGTTGTGATACAAAATACACAACATGAACAAATGTTTTCTTTGTAAATATCTTTTTCAGGAAAATCATTTTAGGGGGTTATTCAATGAAGGCTCTTTCACGCCAGCCACAGTGCGTTCCGGGCCGTTTCTGGTCGCAACACACTGGATCGCAATGCGGCCGGCTCACTTTGTTTTGGGGCGGGAGGGGGTGTGGCGGTGCACGGCAGGAACAACCTCTGGTGGTCTGCAGCGGATCGCGTGGCACACAGGGCTGGATTTCCCCCAAGGCCCAGCCTCGGGGCAGCAGGGAGTAGAGGGGCAGCAGGGGTGTGGAATTCCTATCTCCCGACGCCCAGGACATGCAGTATCATCCAGGCACCGGGCAGGTAGTTGTTTTCTACATTTAGCCCTGCTTTGGGCAAGCAGAGCTAAATGTACAGCGGGGAAGCCGCCCCTTGTTTTATACAAATGAGCTCGGCGACATTGTATGCAGCTTGCAGGTCTGCCATTCTCCATAGGGGGGTGGGTGTTGGCGGGTAAGGGGGGGGCGCATTGAGGAACCTGGCCTTGGGGCAGCAGAGAAAGTAAATCCGGCCCTGGTAGCATATCAGTGCCTTTGTTCCACTCTCGTGCAGTCAGAAAAAATAGTGCATGCAGTAAGTTTTCTGACTGCACCGGAGCGGAACGCAGGCACTGCTGATTGTACGCAGCAGCCTGTTCTTCTCTATGGGAGTACACGGCCGTACGTTCACCCCAAGTGCAGGTCCGTGTGGGTGCAGGTGTCCGTGCTCGGATGCACACATGATCCATCCTGTCTGCGTAAAAGTACAGGCACCTGCACCCACATGGATGTGTAGCGCGGGTGAGTGTACGGCCGCGTACTCCCATAGAGAAGAACAGGCTGCTGTGCACAATCACACGCAGCACCTGTCGTTCACGGTAATGGACCGATACAGCTGTGCGCGCCGCGTGGATCTGTACGGCTCGGCTCATAGCAGTGTGAATGAGGCCTTAGAGAGTCAGAGAGGGGAATTTATAAAAACTGAAGCAGACATAATGTGGAGCAGCTGTGCATGGCAACCAATCAGCTTCTCTCTTTCATTTTCAACTCTTGACTGAAGAAACTGAAGAGAGAAGCTGATTGGTTACTAAGGGCAACTGCTCCAGATTTTGTCTGCTCCAGTTTTGATAAATTACCCTCAGAGTGTCTCAGAAGTAAAGATGGGCAGAGGTTCACCAATCTGTGAAAATCTTTGTCTATAAAAAAATGGAACATGTATGCGACCCGGCCAAAAAACCCGCACCCCTACGGACCTGCAAATGAGGTTAGCGTAGGGGGGCGTACGGCCGCGTAGCCCCATAGAGAAGGACGGGGGCTGCGTTCTAATCACAACCCCCTCAGCGGGCCACGGTAAAATTATCAAACGTTGACCGGTCCGCGGCGATAAAAAGGTTAGGGAGCACTGATCTACAGAACATAATATCATCAAAAGATTCTGAGAATCTGGAGAAATCTCTGTGTGCAAAGAAGAATAATGTCACCAGCACACCGTTTTTGTAAATCAATAATCCATTTTAATGGCACATTGCCATCCAAGCGCTTTTGGGGCCGCAGGGGGTCCCCTTCATCAGGCTCAGAATGACCATGGTGTACTTCGTAGTAGAAGAGTCCGGATGATTAACTGGCCTGCCTGCAGTCCAGACCTTTCAACGACTGAAAATATTTGGTGCATCTTGAAACGAAAAATACGACAAAGAAGACCCAGGACTGTTAGGAGCAGTTAGAATCCTATATCAGGATAGGAACATTCCTCTCCCAAAACTCCATCAACTGGTCTCAGTTCCCAGACATTTACAGAGTGTTGTTAAAAGAAGAGGGGAGGCTACACCATGGTAAACATGGCCCTGTCCCAACTTTTTTGAGACGTCTTGCTGCCATCAATTTCACAATGACCTTACAATGGTCCATTTTCTCAGTTGAAACATTTGATATGTTTTCTATTTTCTATTGTGAATAAAATATGAGTTTATGAGATCTGTAAATCATGGCATTCTGTTTTATGTAGATTTTACACAGCGTCCCAACTTTTTTAGAATTACGGTTGTACAAAGGAGCCACAAATGTGACTTGTCCAAAGCCAAAAAAAGGAAACTGACTGTGGAATTTAAAGCTGAACTCCAGACAGATAGAAAGACACAAATGATTGCAGCTCTGTATTCATAAATACATATTTAATTTGTTTGTACATACAAGCAGTGTGTAACGAGATCGCATTCTCGGGTCCTCCCTGGGCTGCAGCGGCGTCATAGACAGCTGCGCCGCCACACGGTGCGCTCCACGATGGTACACGGCGGCCGTGTGACGCGCAGGAGAGCCCCGCCTCCATAAATTCCGGCTCCATAAATAGTGACCGGCCGCTACACAAGGCGTTCCACTATTGCCGTGAACGCCTGTGTTCGGTCCGCTCACTCGGGACAGCAGTAGGCTCATCAGGGTCACAGGGAATCTACCTCCAGTCCCATCTTCCAGGGAATCTACCTGAGTGCTGTGCAAGTCTATTGGGAGACCGCAAGTATCCTTGTGTCAGGCAGTTCAATGCTGTATCTCTTGCTATTGGACGTACCTGGTGCTATACATGTTACTGGAGTTACTTCCATATCACTTGCTGTATGTTATGCTATTGGAAGTGCATAGTGCTATACATGTTACTGGAGTTATTGCTATTCACTCTTGCTGTGCTATTGGTGGTACATGGTGCTAGATGTATGCAGGAGCTGTTGCTATTCACTTGCTGTATGCTGGGCAATTGGGAGTGCATGGTGCTATAAGCAGTACTGGAGCTTCACTGTTGTTCACACCATTGAATGCGGCCATAGAGTATCATTTGAGGATTGAGTTCCTGCTCTTATGTACCACCAGTTTCTATACGAACCTACACCCTCATCATGTTGCGCACTCATTACTAGGGTGGATTATGATGTAATAACCATTCTAAGTAGCATCTTATAAATAAGTCGGCAGATGATTTCGTGGATCCAAACTCTCCCTTGAGACGAGAGTGAAACCTGGAACCCAAACTGATATGCCGCAACAGGACTAGATAGATTATGTACTAGAACTGCATATGCGTCAATCTCCACAGTTGTGATCCTCAATAATCCGTCAGGTGCTTTACACAGTGTAAGTACTGGAATAGAACATGGTATCAGCCTCTTGCACTCGCCTGTACGGCAGAGCTTAGACTGGGGGAGGAAGCAGCAGCACACTGGCCTAATCAGTTGCATTGCAGTGTAAAAAGCTTGCTGATAGGAGGAGAGAGCAAAATGATTAAGGCCTTGTTCACACCAAGCGCGTTCCAGGAGCAGAGCAGTTACAGACCGGAGCAAAACTGCGTCCAATGTATTCCAATGGTATTTTCAGCTCTAGTTCACATCGCAGCGTTCAGTTTCAGAGCAGGTAAAAAAACTGCAGCAGGCCCTACTTTACCTGCTCTGGAACGCATGCAAACGCATAAAAAACACATGCAAACGGCCTGGAACACACTGAAAGCCCATTTTAAACAAATTTTTTTTTATATTTTTGTAAACCAAAAACGGCCCAGAACGCAGCAAAAACGCGGCACAACCCACTGAAGTGCGTGTGCAGAAACTCATGCAGATCTGGTCTGCATTTGGTGTGAACAAGGCTTAAGAGAAACTCAGCAGTTTGTTGCTTCTCCTTTTCCTGTCCAGTGACAGGCTGATAGAGGGACAAAATGTCCCTCCTCTGTGCTGTAGTAAATCTCAGAACCGGATGGGTCAAAAAATATCAATCCTTTGGCAGGTGTAACAGCTACCCGTTGTAAT